TCAAGATTAAGTTTTTTCATATTTAGGACGGGTTGATCTTGGAAAAATTTAAAGACCTATTTGGGAAATTATACGGGAAATTTTTTCGTTCAACTCTTGAATATAAAGTCAAGACGTCTTTGGTTACAAAAAAAGACTACAAGGTACTGAAAAAGGTTCAAAGGAGGATAACAAAGGTTGTGAAGGGCCTTAAGTCCTTATCTTACGAATGTAGACTTGAGGCGTAACCTTTTTCCTCATGAGTACAGGCAGATCCGAGGTGATTTCATAGAGACATACTGGATCGTTAGGAATCAGGACTGAGTCCTGCCGTTTGATGACTTCTTCGCATTAGCCACATCAACTAACCTTAGTGGGAATTCGCTCAATCTCCGAGGAACCTTATCTCATCTAGATGTAGGCAGCCATTCGTTTTCACAGCGAGTTTTCGTTGCCTGAAATGGACTGTACGAGGAGATTATAATTGCGAACTCGACAGACACCTTTAAACACAATTCTGATGTATATTTACTTAAAAGGTACCGTTCATATGCTCAGGAAAGCACTGTTAGTACTTATCAACGCTTTGCTTACACATAAAAATGAAATTACTGTCTACTATTTGACAATTATTATGTACGATCCTCAGCACGACTATACATAAATATAACTGCTAAAAAATTCATAAATGTGCTTATGCTACTCAGTGATTTATAGTACCATATTTATATTACGCATTTTCTGTTGGCTATAGATCCGTACAGTTTTCACTAGGGTCTTCAAAGGCATTGGCTACTATGCGAACCATGCCTTAAAACCCGCACTCCCCGTATACCTGTATGCCAATTATACTGAATTATACTGAAATGAAACGTCTTTTCACTTTTTCGAAACAAAACCTTATGCGAACAAAAATCCTGCCGCGCATTCTGAGTAAGCGCAGATCCAGGAAAGTGACCCAAACACATAATGTAGTCCACAACATATCAAACAAATGTACAATTTATCGTTACTAACACGGCAGCGGACATGGATGTGGGTCACACGCACATTTTAACAGATAAGTGTACAAACGTGGCAGCGTTCGGAAGTTACGCTCGTGAGCAGGACACAAGGCCATATTTTGACGGAATCATGGAATTTAACTCTACCTTGTCGGGATCTTAATTTACATAATAGTTGGCAGTCCTCTATTTTAATGCGTCATGATAATTCCCAAGCCTGGCAGATTTCTCTAGCGGGGAATACCCCCTCGTCAAGTGGAGGACATCGCAAAGTGGATATTTCCACAGGTTGTGTTCCAGTCTACTGCCTGAGGAAGTTAGCCAACCAGTAGTAGGATTTGGCACAGTCGCTCACTAGCTTAGAAGCCCACATTATGG